CAAGCACCAAAATTCGGATCTAGTAGGGTTTCTCCAAGGGGTTCACGAATTATAGTGCCTTACGGGTCTATTTATACTTGAGGCCAACTAGGGTTTCAGGGTGGAAACCCTAATCCCTTAGCTTAGGGCCTAAGCAAGTCCATGGACTCCTTACCTTTAGTGTAACACCGTAAATTTTCGAATAAAAAATTTTCATTTAAAATCATAATATTCTCATAACACATTTCACAAAAATCTCGTTTATTTAATCTACAAATCACGACTTCATAATTGTTTGATTAAAACCCAGAATCCCCAAAACATAACTCTATCACTGGTGTGTACAATCAAGCCGGTGCCTTCCCGTGATCCTGAGAAACCCTGAAACACATAACACACAACACGGTAAGTATGAAGCTTAGTGAGTTCCCCAAAATACCACACACATAGATCAATAGCCACTCGAGGCTATATCACTGTAAGACCCTCCGATTAATGTGTCTCAGTGGGACCCTCCAGTCCCATACTCAGGTGGACCCTCCGGTCCTAACTCAGTAAACTCAGCATAATACATAACATAAATCATAAAGAAATAATGCAGGATATCATAATACACAATATAAGCATATAAGACCCTCTGGTCACACATAGATTACCTACTCAAGGTATATATAGTGAGAAGACTCACCTCGAAGCAAGCAAGCAGTTATCCTCATACTTGAATCTCGAACTAGCCACCGCTTAACACATAAGGTAAATATCTCTAATCAATACTCAAATTCTCAACTCTAAGTAACCAAAGGTTACTCTTTCTCTCTCTACTTGGGAAGTGGGTAAAAGACCATTTTACCCCTCCATGGTCTCCATTACTCACGATTGACCCAACCTTAAAGTCAACAGAAGTTGGACTCGAGTCGACAGTCCTTGTTTGACCCGAATCATCGAGTGCACTCGTGCAACTCGTTGAGTCCACTCATATCCTCAGAAGTCTCGTGAAGGTTCCACCCAACTCGTCGAGTTGACCCCCAACTCGACGAGTTATCGCTTGACCGCGAACACCAGGACGGACCCGAACCGACTCGTTGAGTCAGCTCATGGAATCTGCGAGTTTACTCAATCAAATTTCCCATTCAGACGTTCAAAGTCAGATCCATTACTCCAAACCCTAGATCTAGCCTCCTAAGGTCCAAAAGTCACGTAAAGTTTTGATCTTTATGACCAAGCATGGCATATATTGCTCTAAATGCCATTATAACTCCAACAAGGGCACCAAAACACAATAACTCTTTAAGTGACTGAATAAAGCTTGAGCCTTTGGACCCTATGGACCTCAGAAGGTCCAGATCTGAAGTATAGACCTAGAAAGGGACTCCATGTACTCGTATCTCAATAAAAAGGTGATAGAAAGCCCTATTCATCAAAAACATGAGATCTAATCACCACAAGGAGAAAGGTGAGAACTTTTTACCTTCTCCAGAAGCTTTTGGACGAAATAACACTAATCCACTGGCCCCCTTCTTGTTCCTTGAAGAATCATTCCCTTCCTCTTCAAAAGAATGTACCAAAAGACCCCAAAATTAGCTCCTTTCACACTCTCTAGCTCAAAAGGACGTTAGGGTTTACTCTCTGTGAAGGTGCGTCGCAAATGAGGCTATAAGTGCCCTTAAATAGGTCCTAAATCCGAGGATTTAGGGTTTCACCACTCAGCGTCTACTTGGCGAGTCGACTCTCGAACTCGTCGAGTAGACCACTAATCCCACGTGGTCAACTCGACCCTACTTGACGAGTTAGACTCTCAACTCGTCGAGTCTCTCAATTAATCTTAAAATAAACACATAATTAACATACCTGCGATTTCGGATGTTACATTTAGCCTTGGACGAAAACTCCTAGAGCTTTCTAGGATTTTCGGCCCTTGTCTAATAAGGTGATCCATTGGCCTAAGCCTCAACTATTAAATAATTACAAAACAGCCCCTGCACTTTTAATCAGTTCCTTTAATCCCAAAATTAATTCCAAATTAATTTATGATTAAATACTAATTAATAATATGATTCCAAATTAATATATTATTCATATAATATATTAAAAAATCATATTTATACCCTAATTTATTATTCTTAACAATAAATCAGCCTCTCTCCTCAATAGTCATCCTGTATAGTCACCAGTGTGAAGGCAACCCAAAAGGACCACGCGACAACTGGGTCAAGTACATACCAAATATAGTTATGGACTTAGACACTAATCCAACAATATCCACCTCAAAGATTAAGACACTTTGGAATGCTAGTTCCCTTCTTTTATATTGAGTTTTCTTAAGCCTTTAAGTGCTTAACACAAATATGCACTACAGGAGAAACACAAAGTGGCACCAAAAACACAAATGACTAACTTCAAAAAGCAACATACTTTCTTATACAATCCCATGCAAGTCAAAAAGAATATACATAAAGTAATGTAAAGTAAAGACTAGAAAGTAAGCATGGGGAACAAAGGAGGGAGGCTGACAAGCAACCTCACATACCCTTTAAAAGTTGCGTCCACAAGCAAGAGTAAGAGAAAAAATCTTTATTTAGTTTCTCCAACTAGATAAAGGCAACCAACTAGTAAGTCTAAAGTTAACCAATATGTCCAAAACATTTGTACATGACTTATTAATCATACCATATGATATATTAACTAGTTTGTTCTTACTTTTATTATTTTTTTCATAAAACAATAATTATTCTGTAATTAAATACAAGAGTTAAATTTATTTATTAATAATCAAACACTTAATAAATATTCAATAAGTACTAACTTGATTAAGGTATAACCTTATATGATCATATGTTATTAGCAACATCATTCAATAATGATTCTTGAGCATATAGATCCAACAATTCTAAAGGGTAATTTCGACTTAATCTATTAGGTCGAGGCTCCACTTCTCAGATGTGATTCTTAACAATTTATTAATGGATAAAGTTTCCAACTTTAATTCCAGTCATACAAGATCTAAACTTCAATACTTAAAAATAACTTAAAGGACCATACAACTTGCATGACTTAATGGGAAGGAAAAAGATCCTACCTTTCCTAGTCCAAAAGGTCCATGGGACATTTCAAAGTGCTCAAAAGGTGTTGAACACAAGCAAAATGGACCAAAAAGTGCAATAAGTAACAAATAACAAAATCTAATGATCCAAAAGGTAAGTAAGAAACTTTGTACTCACAAAGGTCCATAAATGATACAAATTTTTTAGATCTAAACTTGAATCTTCCTTTTATGCAACAAGAGAAACTTCTTGATCTTCAAGCTTCACTAAAAAAATGAAGAAATAAGCTTCACTAAAAAAATGGAGAAATAAGCTTCACAAATGGTCCAAAAACTCAAGACGAAGAAGAATAAGGCTAGGGTTTTTTCAAGGAATGTTCTAAGGGTGTTGGAGGTTGAGAATGATCAAACCCTAGGGGTTAGTGTCCTTTAAATAGTCCCAAAACCCTAATAAAAACTTTGAGCCCAATGGGTTGGGCATGTCGCGACTTTTAAAGGGCGCTTCGCGACCTTTCCGATAAATTCAAAATTTTCAGATTTTTCAGCAAATGTGATTAATGGCTTCCTGCTTCACCCCATCCTTCTAATTTCTTATGGACTATAACCCCCCCCCCCCCCCCCCCCCCCCCCCAATTAAAGAATGAAAAAACATAATCGGAACTCGGATGTTGCATTCAAGCAGTTGTTAATGATGATCAAAATTGTATCGGAGATATTGTTATGGGAGAGTGAAATGAACTATGTTTTTTCACAGATTTTAAAAAAAGTTGACGAAATCTATCCTTGGAAATCATTTTTGTAAAAATAATGAAACCAAATGTTAGGCAAATCCCCTAAAAAATTAGGGATCGGACTAGATAAAGCGTTCGAAGTTGACATTGATCTTCCATAAACCGGTGAGCTCTTGAAACTCTAGTGGTATGTTTCTGGTGAATCCTTTTGCAATGAGGGTGAAAATCCTTAACAATTTCAACTATGATAATGTTGACGAAAACACACCGACTAAGCTAGTGTTCCATAACACAATCTTATATACATTCCAAAAGAATCACAAAACACACCGTTATGATCTCTACACTAATAGGTACTAGAATCCTATGAAACCAAATTATTGTAAGGGTCACTTGTTATGTTACCTTTGAATTGAAGCATGATCTTTTTCTCAAAGGTCGCCGCAACCACCTAATCGACAGCCGCCGACAACAAGAATGCAATTAGCAAGAGAAAGCTGACTGTAAAGTACAACATTGTTGTAATAAACCTCTCATTGATTCAAATATGGTAACAAATGTTGATTACTACTACTACACTACTACTTGGAAATCAAATTCGAGACCCACCTACAATTTGATTTGAGATGGAGACGAAGACCTAGTGGTGTTAGTTGCTTCAAGAAGGGGTGTAGGAGGGTGTTTTTTAAGATGATGGTGGCGGGGAAGAAGACGGGGTGGGGCGGGTAGTTTTAATAGGGTTTATTATTTTCTTTTTCTTTTTTTAATGTTAAAATCAGTTAAAGAAATATTTTAAAAAATTAAAAATTATATAAAATTATTTTTAGGTAGGAAAGGGACCAACCACAATTAAAATGAAAATCACAAGAACCTTCCATGAGACTGAAAAAAATTATGGACTAAACTTAATATTCCTGAAAACCACAACGACAATTTATGAAGATTCCGCTTTTTATTAATATTTAATTTACATCTACTTGTTATTTGTATGATTTTATAAAAATCATATGTTATGTTATGAGTAATATAATGATTCTTAAAACAAATAGATCTTTAGTAGTAGTAGTTGTGGTGGGGATTCTCTAGACAAACACGTCACGTTCATGTTACATACACCTACCACTATAATTAATTTGATTTATCTTAGCACTGTGAAGCACCCATACAAAAACAAAACCATATTTTTAAAAGATGGTCGGAAATTATATTATTTTTTTCTGGACCAACACATCACTTCATGTTACATACACCTACAACCGTTGACTTCTTGATATATGCTCTGAGGCTGATTTAATTCATCTCATCCAAATTTCTTTGCAATCATTTCGCATAAACTCTTCCCAATTAAGTTTCGACTTTATATATCTTTCAAGCACGTCTTCAATGGCGTCTTCTTCAACTTCACCTATTCACAGCTTTCAGTATGATGTGTTTTTAAGCTTCAGGGGTGAAGACACCCGTAAGAATTTCGTTGATCATCTTTATCTTGCTCTTGAGCAGAGAAAGATATCTACTTACAAGGATGACGAAAAAATCGAGAAGGGAAAACGGATCAGTGAACAACTCATTAGATCCATTGAAGATTCAAAGTTCTACATCATTGTTTTTTCCAAAAACTATGCATCCTCATCTTGGTGCTTGGATGAGCTTGTGAAGATAATGGAATGTCACAAGACTAACGAGCGTATTGCTTACCCCATCTTCTATGACGTGGAACCCACCGAAGTCCGCCACCAAACCGGGGCAGTTGAAAAAGCCTTTGCTAAACATGAAAAGGAAGAGTCTGCCGAGAAATGGAGAGATGCTCTGAAAGAAGCAGCCACTCTGGCTGGATGGGAGTTGAAGAACACGGTTGATGGGTAATACCTTTATCGTATATCTCTCTCCAATATTCTTTTATTTTGACACGAAATGATGCTAGTCTTCCTCATCGATTTTGGCCATTTTTTTGTTCTAATCAACATCGATCATAACATTAAGCATTACACATCCACCATGCATCGACTTCGGATTTCTGAAAAATCCGACTCAAGCAATGGGTTTTGCCCACCTTCCTCTATGGCGGCTGCTGTTTTGGCCAAAATCAGGACAGGACTAAAAAAAAGTCCCAATCATTTCAATTCCAGATCTGTCCCTGTTTCCGATATTTTCATAATTTCAGAATAAGAGGTATTTGAGGTTTCTGCTTAGTCATGATTCAGCCGTAATTACTACAATTCTTTCATCATATCTCAGTAATATTCTTGCATTTTTTTATTCTTTCTAAACTAGGATTAATGCTCTTGGAAGTAACTTGTAAGTAGGGTCCATGGCATCTCATGCAGAATTGTCAAGTTTTTAACTCCATCTCGAGTCTTGTCGAAAGATTAAACATATATGTGATTATATGAGTATGTTATTATTTATATATTAATGTACATTATTTGTATGTTATAGATCTGAAAGTTATTGTACATGTTGGATTTTGAGTAAGCAAACTGAATCCTCTTACATACAATACAGGCATGAAGCTAAATTCATTGAAAAAATTATAGAAGATCTTTTACTAAAGTTACCTTCCAACGATCTCATCATTGATGACAATTTAGTAGGCATGGAAACCAGGATCAACGAAGTCTTATCTTTTTTAGGAGTTGGGTTTGATGATGTTCGGATGGTAGGGATCAAAGGGATGGGTGGTTGTGGGAAGACAACTTTGGCCAGAGCTGCGTTTAATCAGATATACTCTAAGTTCGAAGGTTGCAGCTTCCTTGAGAATGTCAGGGAAAATTCATGTTCTGTCAGTTTGAAGTCATTACAGGAGCAAGTCCTTTTGAATGTTGTCTTAAATGCTCATCCCATCACCATAAATATACAAGGTGACAAGAAAAGACTGATGAAGCAGATGTCTAGGACAAAGGTTCTTGTTGTTTTAGATGATGTGGATTGTGTAGAACAACTTGAGGCTTTGGCTGGTAAGCCTAACTGGTTTGGGAAGGGAAGTAGAATTATCATTACAACTAGAGATGAACAAGTGCTGTTAAAACACAATGTGAAGTTGATTTATAATGTCAAGTTGTTATCGGATGAAGAAGCAGTCTGCCTCTTCAGTAGGCATGCATATGGGCGAGATATTCCAATTAGTGAAGAGCACAAAGGAATGTTAAGAAAAGTTCTACATTATGCTGAAGGTCTTCCCTTAGTGATCAGAGTATTGGGTTTAAATCTCGGTGCAAACTACGGTGCTAATGAGCGTGGATGGAAAGACACCCTAGAAGAATTAAAAACAATTCCGTTGGAGGAGACTTCAAAAAAATTGGAATTAAGCTATAGTGGTCTCGAGAAGGATTACAAGGAAATGTTTCTGGATGTTGTATGCTTGCTGAAAGGTGAGACGAAAGACTATGCAATCGAAGCACTTAAAAGTTGCGAAGATTATGCAAAGCTTGATTTAAAAGTTCTTGAGCGAAAATCTCTCATAACTTTTTATAAAAATTCTATGGGTTATGAGTGTGTGGGCATGCATGACCATATTGAAGAAATGGGTTGGAATATCGTTCGTCGTTTGCACCCTGATAAGCCTAACCAACATAGCCGATTATGGATTGATGACGAAATTGAATATATATTGGCTAATGACTTGGTAAGGACATCCACAGTATATTGAACTTCATAGAGTTTAATGGATTATCACATCATCATTTTACATTTCATACAACTTTACAATTTTTTTCCTATAATGCATGCTCTCAACTTTACAAAGTTCAATGAAATATTACCAAAACTAATTTATAATATTTATTTAAGAATTATGAAGTTTTTTTTTCTTATTGAAGAGTTCGATGGTTATTGAATGCCAATGTAATATCTCATAATGATAGATTTGAATTCATTGAATGACAACTAGACTTGTCATCTTATTCAACTCTCCCATTGAACTCTCCATTATGAATGTTCTAAATGATCAAATGCATTTGTAAGTTGGAAAAAACTAACATGTTAATTATTAGTTGTTACAATACAAGTTTTATGCTGACTGTGATTGCAGGGTACTGACGCAACAAGATGTATACAATTACGCACAAAGAAGCTCAACCCGGAGATTGTTATGCAAGGTCTTAGAAAGATGAAGCAACTTAGATTTCTTGACGTGCATGTGGAGAAAAACATCCGTGCAAATATATTTGATCGTTTTCCTTGGAATTGGAAATTTAATAAATTTGCCCCATACTTTCCGAATGCTTTACAATATCTACGTTGGAATAATTACCCTTTTAGATCTTTACCGAGAACATTTCAAGCAGATAATTTAGTTTCACTTGAGATAGCTCACGGCGAAATCGTACAACTTTGGGAAGGGGGAGAAAGAAAGGTAGACTTGTGGTTGATTTATTGTTTTGCATGATTCATTATAATGTTAAATATACATTGATCTTCACTTTGTTACACAGATATTCAACTATTCATCTTGTTCTTTTTGCTTATATTAGGTTCTTAACAAGCTCAAATTCCTGGACCTCTATAATTCAAGGTTGAGGACCCTTGACCTTAGGCTGACTCCAAATCTCGAGAAGTTGAGTCTTGGAGGATCTAATGATTTGGTAGAACTTGACATGGGTGCTGGATGTTTAAAGCTCAAATACGTCGACATCAGTTTTTCGAAGTTGAGGAGCCTTGATCTTAGGCCGGCTGTGAATCTTGAGCTGTTAGTTCTTAAGAATTGTGATGAATTGGTAGAACTTCATATGCCTAGTATATGTCTAAAGTTGAGATCCTTCAACCTTAGTAATGCAAATTTGGGAAGAATTGACCTAAGGCATGCGTCAAATCTCGAGGTTTTAAGGATTGATGGATGTGTAAATCTCAGATCCCTCACACTCCTTAAATCAAAGTTGAGGACCCTTGAAATCGGGCTGACTCCAAATCTCGAGCGTTTAGATCTTCAAAAGTCTGACAATTTGGAAAAGCTTAGCATGGCCGATACATGTGAAAAGCTTGCATATCTCGATATTAGCCATTCAAAGTTGAGGACCCTTGACATTGGGCTGACTCCAAATCTCGAGCATTTAGATCTTCAAAATTGTGATAATTTGGAAGAACTTCCTATGGTCAATTCCTATAAAAGGCTTGCATATCTCGATATTAGCCATTCAAAGTTGAGGAGCGCTGACCTTAGGCTGACTCCAAATCTTAAGACATTAAAGCTTACAAATTGTTCTAATTTGGTAGAACTTAAGGCTCCAGCTGGGTATGTAAAAGGGCTTGTCTACTTAAGCTTAACTGGTTGTTTGAGGTTTAGTTCCTTTACTTATCGTAGTGTGGATGAATCGGATCAGGTTGGTCCTTTAGCTGAGTTACATTTGATTGCCAAGTCCCAAGAAATATGCCCAATTCACCCACATAATAAGTTGCCAAAGTTTCAGTTTGCATGTTTTTATGAAAAAAGTCCCCCCTCATTAAGTAGTAATGTTGAGGAGCTTATTTCATTTGGTCTCTGTGCTTGCACAAACTTTAATAGGATTTCAAGAAGCATTTGCGGGTTGCGAAATTTAAGAAAGCTTAAACTCCAAGGCAGTTTTCCAGAGGCACCCAAGGACCTTCACCAGTTAGAATGTCTAGAGGAGCTAAGTTTGTTGTCTACAAATATTAAACATCTTCCAGATAGCATTTGTATGTTGAAACATCTAAAATCTCTCGAACTCAATAATTGTCCGTTGCTTGAGAAGTTACCGGAGGATCTTGGTCAATTGGAATGTTTAGAGAAGCTATACTTGATCGAGTGTAAGTTTCTACAAGATATCCCGGACAGCATATGTAACATGAAATGTCTACAAGTGTTGCATATAAAAGGTACTTGTATAAGTCATCTTCCACGGAGCATTCTTTTGTTGAAAGGTCTAAGTATCTGTGGGTCAAGACAGCTTCTTGAGTCGTTTGGTTTTACATCCGAGATACAAACCTCAAAAAACCAAACATTGTGCCACGTGGAGGTGTGATTACCCACAGCAGGAATCTCCTCTGCTGCTTTTTTGAGAGGCTCTGAAGTCCTCAAAAAGCCAATTCACGAAGAACTATTGTAACAGGTATTTTCTATATTTTATTGATCTTCTTACTTTCATTTGAGTTTTGAAATTGATAGCACAATACATAACTTTTCAGCCAAAAATCAACTATAATGCTTAAAAATTACAAGTACTGTACATAAATGAAGAATCCATGTTAAAGTTGTGTCTCATAGAGTAGCTTATTCATCGTTTATGTTAAATTTGAAGGCGTACTCAAGATAAAACCACCACGACTTGGAAAATCCCAAAGATGTCATTTATTCATGCATTGTACCATATCAGAATTCAAGAATCAGATGTTAAGATCCTGACATATGTGGATTTTGTGGACGTTAATTAAAACATGTAAGCTGTAAAGGTCGTTTTTTTTTTCATTTTTGTGCATTTGAATTATATCTGTTTTACTATCGATGCTAACATTTAAACCATCTCCTGCAATCAAGAGTTTCAAAAAACCGGGAAGCAATGGGCACACAAGGTGATTTGCCAAACTACTTTTGTCAAAACTATTTGCTTTACACCATTCCATTTAATTTCTCCATTTATAATCCCAGAAGCTCTAACTTGTGATGTGTTGCACAATCTATATATGTATTATTTCTTTTAATTTCATAAAACATGTTTTATGGTAGTAACCTGGTTTTAGCCTTGTTAGTTTTCTTGTGCTTAGGCTCTACATATATGTATATATATGTAGACCCAACTAGACCTAGGCTTTGCACATTTAGGTGGGTTTAGTACTTTAGTTACCCAAAAATTGGCTGTTCTTTAAAAATTAAAATTTAAGAAAAAAATAAGAATTTTGAAAACGTAGTATTTAGTTAACAATTTTTTAAAATTTTTATAAAAATTGAAAATTTTCTGTTTTTCAAAATTACAAAGAACTTACAAGATTTTATAAAACCGATAATTATTGTTTTCTATATTTTCAAATTCCAAAAAATTTCTAAACTATATAACACACACCAACCCCGATCCTACCGACTTCTACTTACCCCTACCCTAACAACCCCAACCCACCCACTCCCAATCCCCACCCCACCCTCATAAACACACACACCCACACACCACCACCATTACCGCAATCACCGACCTACTATCACCACCTCTATCGCCTTCTTCATCACCACCATCACCGTCACCACACCCCGCCCCACCACCACCACAATTGTCACTATCATTGCCACCATCATCACCGCCCACCACTGTCGTCACCACATAACATTTTGAGCCAAAAAATATTTTTTAATCGGGCTTCTCAACAGCATTGGCTTGATCCAACTTTATATCAAAATTTGTGTTTTTGACACATAAACTATTTGGTTATCCGGAGTGGGCATTAACCCATGTGTGAGTTTCCTATGTGGCACGCATGTGACACACTAACTCACAGGTGAGCACCGCCCCGTGGACCAGTGGTTTGGCTATGGAGTGACTTGTAGTGGTTGCGAAGATGGAGCAAGACGTCAATTTTGATTGGTTCTCTCTTTTTTCCCTCATATTTTCTCTCTTTCTCTCTCCTCCTTTTTACCCAGCCACTACCAACCCATAGGTGAACACCATTTCCTCAACCTAATGGGTTGGTGTGGAATGATAAAATACCTACGCGGCGTTGAGTTGGCTGGTGGTTTAGTTGTGACCACTCCCCACAGCCTTAAGTTTGTAAAAAAAGTACAATTTTACTTTAAGTTTATTTTTATATTTATTAATTTTTAAATTTTATAAAAAAATAAAAATATATTTTTTTTATATATGATATTAGGTTTCCAAGTTATTATAAAATAAAATTTAAAATAAAACCTTTAAACTTACAATTTTTTTACCTTTTTACTCTGAGTATATTTTTTCATATTATACGTATTCATATAGAAAAAGACTTATTTCTATACAAAAATTTGTTTAAATAAACATAGTATATATGTTCTTATTAAAATGTTATTTCTTTATATATGAGATTCTTTTTACCTATTTATATGGTTTAAAACGTAATATTACATTTTTATTAGTATAAATATATTTAAGATTATAAATATAACTTTTTAGAACTATAAATAAATATTTTTACATCTTTTAAAATGTTAATATGTTTTTTTGGAATATAAATACATATTTTTACGTATTTAAAAAAATATCAATCAGAAATGTTTATATATATATATATATATATATATATATATATATATATATATATATATATATATATATATATATACTAGGTGTATGTCTGCGCAATGCGGCGGGTGACAAATAGTCTTATTTCGGCAAATATTTCTTCCAATGAATAATTCTTTCACCGATTAGTTTTGATCCCTATTGTATTATAACGATTGATGTGTAAGCCTCGTCATCATTATAATTTTGTGAAATGGTTGCTTTAAACTTTATTAGTTATAATACTAATGATTAATCGTATAGGAAACTGTTTTTCCCTCATTTTACATATTCTTTTTTGAAAATATCTTTCAACCTAACAATCTATTTTGAACTATGGAATTTCTTTGCATTGCAAAATTGGTTTTTGATGATCTGCATAAAGCAAAAAATGTAAAACTTTCTATCAATTTTGCGATGCAAAATAATAATTTTATATTATTAAATTGATAAATACTCATCAAAAAAATCTTTTTTCTTTTGAGTTTATTGTGGGTGGAACCAATACAACAAAATGAAACTTTGTAATCGTCTATAAGATGAGAATCTAGTATCATTATTATGAAAATTAGTGTATATGTATAAACTTCGAAACGGGTGATTGTATATTTAGTTATTTACATAAAAAAATGTAATATAAGACTATAAGTTGTGTCTTTATTGACTTCTTACCATAAAGAGGCGTATTTGCAACTCTCCACTTTAATTAAATAAATAGAAATTACAACTATTACATTATATATTTGAAGGGTCGAGAAATATATCCAATTTATCAGACATGTTTCAAATAAAAATAGTTTCCAACAAACCATATAAAAATGAAATAAAAAATATGGGAAAGTAATGCAACTGGTATTAAAATATCTCATTAAAATTCAATGAAAACATGATCCAAAACCCAACTTCCAACTAAATATTCCCACCAACTAATACCTGGTATCAAAAATATGATCCTTAACCCAAACATGTATTCTTCAGATGCATTACATCACCAATGTATAATGATGAACAGATGAAGTTCGAACCATTAAAAACGTAAAATAATGATCAAAATGTGTGCAGACCATAAAAAAACATAAAATGATGATCAAAGTGGAAAACCTTTGGACACCAAAGATTTTCTGCACCCATATAGAAATCTTTCAAAGTCTTCGGACACCATCAACACCAGCTTCTAACTTGTTGCTTTAGGATTTCCTTCAAGAATCTAATAGAAAAACCAATTCCACCCGATGTTCAGTTTCAACGAAACTATTTCTTACAGAAAAATTCTATGGTGTATGTTTAACTTGAAAAGTCAAAATGATTATTAAAATTAAGCAGAAGATTTCAAATTCATAAACATGAACTTCCAATTCTTATTAGAAGGCAGTGCTAGAAAAACATAGCAAGCTCCCTGTAATTTCATTAACACGCAAAAAACATGTAAGATATCAAACAAAAATCCAGAAAAATTACACCAAATTAAGCAATTTCGAAAAAAAAACAATGTAAAAGAAATACCAGAACATGGCCATTGGCCATTGCTAAATCTTTCATATCCACAATTTGAAGCGAGATAAATTATAATTACAAGGAAACAAATAAATCAATCAATTTAATAATGAAAATAAGACACCGGTTAGAACCAATAGTGTTTGGTGAGTATGATCGCAATCTAGAGCTGTAAATTCATTGGTGTTAGTCTTGATAAGTTGCTTTCAATACAAACATGAATAAACTTCATATATTCTACTTCTTCAGACTTGTAACTTGAACCCTCACTCCACCTAAATTGATTACAACTAATAAAAGGGTTTTAAGAGCACAAGATTTCCCCAATTACCCGGTCATAATCCTTCCGAATCACCACTCAACTCAAGACTAAAGTTTTTTTGTATGTTATGCTCCAACACCAAGGTTAAGTTTCAGTTTATGGCATATACAATAAAAGATGACTTTAATATAATGTAGCTTTATAACATACCAAATTCAGCAAGAAGGGCATCATACATGTAGCTTGTTGCAATAAACAGGCCACCTGTAGTCAAATCAAAATTTGTCCTTGTGTAATACTGTAAAAAAATTGTATGATATTATCATAATTGACAAAAGATCCATCACTTTGAATAAATTTAGTTGATCTAGAAGAAACTATGCCTCCAAATTTAGTGAACCTACATTTTGTTTAAAATAAATCAAATAACAAAATAGCAAAAGAAGAACAAAATAATATCCTTTAGATGATGAAGCTACTTCTTATAACTGAAATTGGCATAGGGAGATGGATGTTGGAACATACCACTTACAGTAAGGTAGATATAGACCATCATATCCTTGAGTATCATCTTCCCCTTTTGCTAGTCCACAATCTGTTCCTTTATCGTATAGTTTGGATCTTACCTGAAAGTCCAGTTAAAAGAGATTTCGAAAGAAAAATATATTAGAAAAACTGAAAATGAATGTAAGAACACAATTAAGCACTAAGATAAATTGTATACTCAGTTAGGGTTTGGCCAAGATTTTGTTTGAGTATTCTTCTTCACTTGATGTTTCCTATTTCATGGTCAGATATCTGAATTAAGGTATTTAAAAAAAGTGGTGGTGAAGCAACAATCGTGTGGGTGGTTGAAGGCAGAAGGAGGTGGGCTGAGTATGGTTTGGGAAAAGGGTGGACATGGATGACTTAACATCGGTTAGTGGTGAAGAAGGCAGAAAAAGGTTGTGATTATGTAGAGATGAAACTTTTTGAATATTTGGGTCGACAAAGTGGAAGGTGAAGGTTATGGGAGAATGAGCCATCAAAAACTATAAAATAAAAGTTGAAAAAAGCTAATAATGTAAATTTAACATGGGAAATCGTTAAGCCAGAAGAAAAACATACATTGTAGCTCTTGACCAAAGAGAAATTAAGAGATAAAGACATGAAGCTGATGAACAAAATCTTTATACCGTGAAAACCAAAAATAAAAAAACAGGCACACGTAGATCAGTAAAACCTAAATCGGTCAAACAAGGGCCCTAAAGAGGTACCCAAATGTTCTCAATATCAGAAAATTGAAAAGCATATTGACCTATTTAACATATAAGTATTGGTGTAGTGTTACCGTTTAAACAACTTTAAAACCCCATCGATTTGTGCATTTAGAATGAGAACATACCAGGCTGATTAGCTTCTTTTAACTTCTCTTTTGTCTATTTAAACAACTCAAAAAACCCCATCTATATGTGCATTAAGAAAATCTGTTTAGCATCCTGCCCGGTGGTAATCTATTAGGCAATTGGAAAAACACTCATTTATGGAACAAATTGAATTTCTTACCAATTTATGAACTTTGAACATCTCCACTGATAGAACTATAGAAGCACCAGAAGATACAGTTTATGTAGTATGTTGTTTTCCTGTTTCAAAAAAAACACAAACAAAATATTTTGAAAAAACCCACGACACAAAAAATAAAATTTTCAGAAGTGTTTCAAAATTAAGAACAATGACCTTTGATCTGCTATATCTTTTCAAAAGTGTTTCAAAACTGGGGGAATCCTCTTGTATTAATCAATCAACAAGTCTTAATGAAAACGATGAACATCGGATTTATCTTCAGCAAAAAGAAGACTATTCGGAAGAATCTTTGCAAAAAGATGATGATACTATCCAGATAGAGAATATGATGGGGAGGTCTGAGAATACATATCAAGGGATGAACGGGATGTCGGAATTTATCGTAGTTAAGGATTTTTAGAGAAGGGGCGGAAGCTAGGGGAAAATATGGGAGAGATCAACGGTGGTTAATGGTGTGGTGGTATAGTGGAGACGGCCACCATGAATGGTTTAGGGTTTGTAGGGAGAAGATGTGGTAGTGAATGGGTAAAGTGAGAGATGTTTGGATCGAATTTA